AGGTGGACTTCAGTAGGTTCAGAAACACTTTGCTGATGGATTATTTAGTCAGTCGCCCAACATTCCTGAAATATTATATCCAGATTGCAGACATGTGCAGGTCTGAGATGAGGTGGGGATGGTGTGGCCCTCCTGGTGTGGTTACACAGTAGGTTCCAGTGCTCTGAGGCATGCTTCTTGTCTGTGGCCTAAGAGATCTGTGGTTGGATGACACTGCCTAGCAAACTCAAGCGTGAAGGAAGACCTCACACCTGGCTTGTGTGCTTTGTGTGTGCTTACATGAAACTGAGCTCCAGTGTGCCCAGTAGGGCTCACTCACTTTGCATATATATTTTTTTTTAATTCCAGCTCTATTGTGGCAACCAGAAAAGATGCTCTGATGAACATTCATTGAATTTGTTTTGCTGTTTGAAGAAATGAATGGCTGTCGGTTTTTCTTATCTTGCCAATGTATGGCGATCGGCAGGTATAAAGTGAGAGCCTGTAAAGGATTTCAGATGTGATGTGACTTTGGCTTCATTTGGATGGTTGTCTTCTGACTTTAAGTGCTTGTGTGGTGATGAACACTAGGGTCAGTTTTGTGGCAAGCACATGGCTATCTGTCACTTACCTGGATGTCATAATTAGCAGAGTTTCCCCCTGTCTGAAGCCTGCTGTTCATATAGTTAATTTGCACACTTACTGAAATATGAGCACACCATGTAAAGCTGTTTTGTGCAAAGGCGTGCCAGGTCTGAATTCCCAGATTTCCCGTGACACATCAAGTGACGTAGGGCTGTTTTCAGGGATTACAAAGAATTCATTGATTTTTTAAAATGCTGCATTGAATCTTTAGTTGCATTGAATTAATTCATTGCTTTGTTGTTAACTTTTAATCTTCCAGGTTCCCCAGGGAGTTCAGGGCAGGGAAACACAATAAGATCTCTCTCCTCTCCCTCATGTCTTCTTAACAGCCCTGTGAGGTTGGTTAGGCTGAGTCACTCAGTCAGCATCAAGGCAGAGTGAATCTTCTAGTTAGAGTCTAATGCCTTAGCCACTGCATCTCACAAACATTTGCCAAAATAAGGACAAAGGACAGGCCTTCCTGGCTCCAGACAGATGTAATCCATTTGCTAGGGTATTTTCTGAACCATCTTCATCAATATCATCTCACCACATTTTTCTTCTTCTTGTTAACAATTGTTTTGAAATGGATTCTCTGGCTAGTATCCTTTTGGGAGTGGCTGAACCTGCCATGCATTCTATCTGGCTTGCCATAACACAAGTGATGCTCACCTCATTTAAAATGATAGGGCTCCTCCTTGCAGAGTGGGAAGGGAATGCCCCATCGTGCAAGCTCTCTGAAAGCTCAGCCCCTCAAGTAAGTGCACCAGTGCGCAGGCAGTGCACTCTCAGGATTTGCCAAGCAAACCCCAAGCACCTTACAGGCAGTGCACTCTCAGGATTTGCCAAGCACGCCAAGCAAACCCCAAGCACCTTATGGTCTACTGCGGAGTACAGAACATATGACAGGTGAAGGGAAGGAAGGGATAAACAGCAAAGCAGCAAATCATGCAGCTCGTGGGTGTGCATTTAGGCCAGAAGTGGTGGCCTATGGCCCTCCAGATGTTCTTGATGTGAAACTGCCAGTCTTCCTCAGCCTTGGGTGGCTTGGAGAGAGAATGAGTCCCCAAACCTGCAGCTGGGGAGCTAGGTGGAGAAGGTGCCTTTTGAGACATTTCCAAGGGTTAGGTTCTAACCCATGTCTTGAATTGTGGTTCGAAACAGACCAGCAGCAGAACCAGAGAAAGCAGAGTTTGTAGGCGTGGATGTCACCAACAGGGATCTGGGCTGAAAGACAGTGTTCTGCCAGCTGCAGCCTTCCTTTCCTTTTTCTTTTTCTAGCTCTAGCTCTTTGAAGATGAGCAGGGAAGGATCCCTGCCCCAAGGTGTTTGCAGCATGAAAGGAAAGGTCAGAGTGGCTCAGGATTTAATGCGAAGGAAGCCTTGTGCTTGTTTACTGGCAGTTCATTTTCAGAAGGTTTCTGCCGAGGAGGGTGAGAACGCTGCGCTCGCTCACTCGCTCGGGCAGAGGAGGTCTCTCGCTCTGATTAAATCTGGTAAGAGCAGAGGCCGTGCGGCATACAAAGGAAGGTCGGGATTAAGTGAACAAGAGTGACGGCTGTTTCTTTTGACCTTGTAAAATTGAGCGAGATGCTAATTTTCAAGGGCATTTGGAGACAAAAATAGAACACAGCCAGTTGCTCTTGTGTCGGTCCAGAGATTCTAAAGATGGCAAAACTCTTTCAGTGGATGAGGTGAAGATATATTTAATGTTTTATTTTCCTTTCTTTTGAGCTTCTCCCTCCTCCTTCCGAACTTGCAGGTACATCTGAAAGAGCAATAGCTGTATGCTTGTTTAAACCAGGGGGACCTTTGTGACTTTCTGGTGTTTTTAACTCTTGCTCCCAGAAGCAGCCATCACCAGTATTTTCAATGTTAAAGAATTGCAGATACTCTAATGGAAAATATCTAGAAAGCCAAAAAGTTCTCCAGCTGTGGTTTAAATAAGTAGCCCTCTCTCTAATTGAAGAGCCTTGCAGGGTGGCAGCAATTATACACATATGAAGGCAAAGCAAAACATTTTTATGCTCTGGGCAGTTTGGACACAATCCTTTTACTTTCCCTCTACTGTATCTGAGAAGCTAATAAACCTGAGTTATCCACATGTGGCTTCTTGATGTCTGAAGTAGTTCAGAGGGCATTTCAGAGAGTGAAAATTGTGGTACCAGCTTGAGTAGACCCATGGGCTTCACATACCTCGACTTAATACTGCCTGATCATTCAATAGGCCTGCTGCAAGAGGGGCTGAACATTCAAGGCTCATTTCCCTACATCCAGATGCTGACAGTTTTTAAAAGTTGGTATTTTAAAATACACCCAGTGAAATGTTGGCCCTCCAGGTGATGTGATCTAGAGCTAAGGATGTGAAGATGGGGAATTTTCAAGTCCTGTGACATTCCTTGTCTCAATGTGAGAAAACGAAACAAGAAAGCGTGATATTTGTGCAAAGTGAATGTCCTTCCTTGTTGAAAAGCACGCACATGCACACAGAGAGAGAGAGAGAGAGAGAAAGAGATTGAGAGCGAGAGGCGCAGAGCGAACCCCAACCGGCTGATCATTTTGGAAGACATAAACAAAGCCTTCAGTGTTTCTTGAAAGTCCTTGCAACAAAGAGGAAGCCATCCTTATTTTATTTAATTGTTTGCATCAAAACATTAGCTGCCTTGTTTTGCACAAATAAACCTTGTATTGCTTCTATTCTCTTGTCGAGAGCACCACAAAGTACCTCACCCCCCCCCAAAAAAATATATTACTCTCCAGGAGAACTATTTTGTGTTTCCTCTTCTTTACTTGTGAGGATGACCCAGGGATAGACAACTCTGAGTGGCCCGCAGGAGGAGGAGGTGATTGGAGTTGAATTCCTGAGCATCTGGAGGGGAGGGGGGTCAAATGTCTCACAAGTCTTGTGCAGCGGGCATAATTTCCTGTGATGCTGCCCTCGTCCAACAGCTCTTAGTCCTGCGAAACCGTGCCATTCCTGTGAACCAAGATGACCATAAGTTGCACGTACTCTGCAACCAAGACTCATTTCCCCTGCTTTCTTCACTTCCTGTCTTCAATGCCAATTATTATTATAGAGATTATTTTATCATATTGGCATCACTCAGGTCACCATGTCTCTCCCCATCACCCTTTATAGAGTTACTACATGTCATACCATCCTCTCCAAGGGTCTTCAGATTCTTTGTTAGTTCATCAGAGCCATTCTTAGACCTGGTTAATCTATTCCTCTTTTTCTCATTGATTCCCTTTTCTTTCAATCTGATCCTCAACCCAATATTTTTATTGCTCTCAACTCCCCATAGCTAAATCATCCAATTCTTTCTTTCTTGGCCCAACCAATCGTGTTGCAGGTCATGCTTCCAGTTCTTGGGGAGCATTCATCACATGGCCATCCTATGCCGTTAGCCCAGTCATTTCTCATTTGGAATTACCCACATTTGTGGTTTTTCTCAGTATGATGACCAAATCCTGTTGCTTAGCATAGTAAATCACCCTCGAGTAGGCCTCCTGAATCAGTGGGGATTGGGTGAGTTAGCCCCTCTGTAAGTTCCATGAATTCAGATGGTCTGTCTCTAAATGCAACTTGCTTTAGCTTAGTCAATTACAGTTAGAGTAGGCCCATTCAATCAATGAAACTTATGGAGGAGTGGACTCCTCAAATCTCTATGGGTGGATCAATAGGTCACCTCTAGAGCAACTTACTATGCTAAGTGATAGGATTTGGCATATATACGTAGTGTGGAATAGATATAATAGGATGTAAATGTTTTGAACTAACCCACTTGCCATGCTCCTGGCCCTCCTGGTTCCATGGCCTTTGTTGGCTCTTCAGAGCTGCTCCCTGCATAATCCAAGCAGTGCTGTGCTAAAACATCAGTGAAAACACCTACATAAGTTGCAGACAGGCATGAAAGTGAGAATCCCGGAAATATTATTGTGTCATCTGAGAAGGGCACATGCATAAATCATTCCAGGATGTGCCTCAGGATTATAGTACCTGTCACTTTCACTTCCTCACTCGTTCAGATGTTCTAAATCACAAGGGTTTTTTTTCTCCATCCCATTTATGAGAGATCAGAATGTAGAGCTGTCCGCCTGCGTGGATTAATCTGTCAATTTCCCTTTCTCTCACATTCTGTGTTTAAAGTCTCACGTTCTGTCCATCCTGTATATGAAGAAATTAGTGAATATTAGCGAGTGCCTAAATTTTAAAAAAGAAAAACCGGAAAAACAAAAGTCTCCTTCTTTAAATGGGTGGTGGTTTGTTGCTTCATTACAGTTTTGTCAAGTGTTTCTCTGGTATTTTCTTCTTTGCTTGACTTCCTGTTTTGATGCTGGCTTAGTTTTTCCATGTTTTTCAGTTTGCACCTTCCTCCCCCTTTCTCTCCTTGCAGATTACGTGACACAGCCAGAGACACATGTGTGTGCCGAGGGAGTGTGACCTGTGACCACAGACCAACAAGCATTCCTTCTCCCCAGGGCTCTGAAGACCGTTTGGGAGGCAATGTCAGAAGAATGGTGGAGAGCTGATCCATCGGCCCTGCTCTGAGGAACGAGATCGACCAGGTAGAAATGAGGTTGGGGAAAACTGGCCCATGGCCCTTGGAATTGCTGCCTTGTCTGTTCAGAGTAAGCGGGAAAGGATTTCTTGAGTTGCCACACGTGTTTTAAAGGGGAAGATGATTCTGTGCATGTACCTTTTCTGCCTAATCGGATCTATACGTATTTTTGTAGTTGGGTGTTGGCAACCAAATACCAAGAAAGAAGCAATCCCTTGCTGGTCCCCATGTGCCTTTCGGCGCACTTATATGTTTCTTCCTTTTGGTCCGAGAATATAATGAAAGTGCCCTCACATTGGCCATCTTGGAAATGCCTTAGAGGAGAGGCAGGTCAGGAACAGGAGGAGACACCCCCCACACACACACACACCATGGTTTGTGTTGATAGCCAAGAGAGAACAAATCTAGTGGCCTTGGCAGTTTGATAGGACTTTGGCCAAAAAAAAAAAAAAAAATCCTAGTGAGATGGGTTTTGGTTCAGTTTGGAATTAATGCTGGAGAAAACCAGGCAGTGAATGAGGAATGTAAAAGTAAAGTCTTGGAGCTTAGACTTAAATTTCTCATTTACACATACTTGCATTTATACTAAGTTATAGTGATAGGTTTAGCTAATGCAAGACAAGAGTGTGTGTGTAGATAGATAGATAGATAGATAGATAGATAGATAGATAGATAGATAGATAGATAGATAGATAGATAGATAGATAGATAGATAGATAGATAGATAGATAAGCTGATTACCAAGAAGACTGGATAATTCAGATGTGAAAACCAGTGGTTTTGCATCGGGGGGAGCAACCCTAGACCTTGGTGTTGTTGCTAGATGCAGCTTCCATTTCCAGATGGTTGGGCATTCTCTTTATTTGCCTCAAGATTTTACACATTCACCAGATTTGTCTGAGAGAAGACCATGCCCTGAGGGGCAGAACTGGTGTGGTGTGCTTAGAATTCATGGCAGTGTTGTATTCAACCCCCCCCTTGGAGCTCACTGGGTGGGTGGCCCGAGCCCAGTCTCAATATTCATAAGGGTTGCCCTCATATGCAGGACCTTGCTAGACCCCCCCCCCGCAAACTCCTGGGATGAGAGGTGCTGCATCCAGACTTCTTAGGACAGAGAGACTGAAATCAGCACAGAAAGCATGTCAGGACTAACTTAGGTCCTGTGATTTGAGTGGGTCACCTCTGAGCATTAGCTTACACTGGATCTAACCATTAGCAATCAACTGCTTTGCCATTGGTGTTTCAGTTGAATGGTGTACAGTGGATTATCATCTCTGTTTTCCCATTCAGTGTGTTCTCTCCTATGTAGGGGAGCTTCTGTCTCATGTCTCTGCATCTTTCATTTTTGTGTATTTTAAAGTTGATTTTAATAGCTCTTTGTCATCTTGATCTGCATGCAGAATATAAGTGTTTGCATATTACCTTACCTCTGTTGAGGATTTTGATCAGTTTTTAATAGTGCTTTACACACCCTTTTGACCAGAAGGAAAAGGAACGTTAGGAGCTGAACCAGCTGTGTTATACTTTTAGAGATGTATAATCATCTCCATTCTCCTTTGTTTATCTGTGCATCTCTTTTTCATGTTAAACAGTGCTCGGAACAGCTCCCAGCAACATCAGGGAAGTTTATATAATATAACAAGATTTCAAGATAGTCCATTAACAATGACAAAACATAACATCCAAGTAGCTGTAAAATTTTAACAGTCTATTCAAAACATCTTCTCCGAGTAAGTGTACAGAAAGATTAACTTGTTCCCTGAGACTTATTCTAAAGCCTAACACCAGACGTGTCAAAGAATAAAATGGAATAAAATCCAACGGACTGCACAGATACATGTGCTGGAATCTCCTTGAGGAAACGTGGAGTGGAGGGCCAAGCACCTGAGCTGCCACCCTCTATGGCCGGCTGTCCTTTGGGCAACTGGTCAGATGTTAGCTTTGAAACAGCATACAAGCGTAGTCTTTCTTGGAAGAGGGGACCACTTCCTGTGGTCAAGATTGTTCAAGAGGCTTCTGATCTCATTAATCCAAATGTACCGTCTCTCCCTCCAACCAGTTTCTGTCAGAAACCCCACTCAGATGGTCTCTAGCAGGGTGGTTGTGGCTCCCGATTTGCAGGGAATGGTCGTCCATTAAATGGGCAGTCCAGCCGACTTCCAAATCTGCTTTAAAGGTCTAGACAGCGTTCTTGAGAAGAGAGAGACGGGCCCTCGAGCTAATAAAAAAAATCAGTCTCTGTACCGCAGTTTGGCACCCATAACTCTTTGAGGACAACCCCCATCTACATCTCTCCCAGGCTCTTCCCTATCCCTTTTTTCAAAGCAAGAGGTATGAAGGGTGGAGTCTGGCACCTCGTGCACGCAACTCAGGCTCTCTTCCACTGACTTACAGGCTTTTCCTGTCAACTGGAGCCAAGGCTGTGGGGGGGGGGGCGGGGGCGTGGCCAGTGTGTGTGCTCTGTCGGCTCACCTTCACGTCTCTCTTTAGTGGGGGTAAAGGAACAGTTGTTCCCAGTCTACTTGTTGTGATCAGAACCTTGACAGATGTCCTATGGATGCATCCCATCCTGCCTCTCTTACCAGCTGCGTGTTTAGCAGTAAGTGGTGGGAAAGCCCAAGGGAAATTAATCTGCCTTCCACCCACAAGCTCATGGAAAGATTAACATCTGGCCATAATGGATGTGTGCAACCAGCTGGAAAGGATCCTGGCGCTCCATTTTTCTCTTGCCAGGTATGGGAGTAAACATCTTCATAGTTCTGGAGGTCGGAACTGGCATCTCCCCCCACAGCACTTTTCCCGTGTTAAGCTGGCGTTGCAAGGAGTCCGGCCCCCTTTTCTTGACCTGCTAAATATCAGGATCAGGTCCTTACACAGCTTTCACTCCACAAATACTGTTTGTTGTAGGGTTTTGTTTTGTTTTTTGCTTGTCTCTGGTTGAATCTATGGTCTCTGGTTAAATTATGGTGATAGTGCCCTCCTTATTTCCCATCAAAGAAAGCAAAGGGTCAGGCCCAAAATTTAGTAACGCAGATCTTGAAAATATGCAGGTGAAATATATGGGGGATTCTGGTAGAATTTGTCTCACTCCTGCATATATTAACCTGCCTGGAACAAGCAGGAAAAGTGGGAGATAATGGGGATGGAACAGATCTTACCCGTCTTCCTGGATATTTGGAGGCAACCTCTCTTGATAAAATCATTTACTTGGCAGATATTTCACTCAGTGACACACACACAGAGAAAACAGATTGTAGTAAAAAGCTCTTAGCATCACCATCCAAAGCACACCCACCCTTTAACTCCCTCCCAGATTAAAATAAAAAAAAAGCTTTTTTCAGAATGAAGGAACAGCACATAATGTAAGTACTATAAGGTGGAAAGGAAAAACTAGCTGCCTGTTAAAATGGATAGAGCCTCAAGAAAGTTTAGCCTCTGGTCATTCAGAGAGGTAGGTTACTTGGTTAATAGGCTATGGACTGGAATTGGCATCAAGATCCGCCTAAGAAAATGGGCTTTCGCGAAGGTTTTCATGGCCGGTATCTAATGGTTGTTGTGGGTTTTTTGGGCTTCCGAAGAACCACCTTCAGAACACGGCCAAGAAGCCCGAAAAACCCACAACAACCAAAATGGGCTTTCCCCACCAATGTGATACCATGGGAGTGGAGAAGAACAGGCAACATACTCTATTCCCCTAATTTACTTTGGAAGAGTTAATATTGGCTATAATAGATGCCCATGGCCGGGTAGGTGGGGCTCGTCAGCCATGGAAGGCAGCCCATCTAGGAGAAGGTGGTGGGAAAGCCCAAGGGAAATTAATCTGCCTTCCACCCACAAGCTCATGGAAAGATTAACATCTGGCCATAATGGATGTGTGCAACCAGCTGGAAAGGATCCTGGCGCTCCATTTTTCTCTTGCCAGGTATGGGAGTAAACATCTTCATAGTTCTGGAGGTCGGAACTGACATCTCCCCCCACAGCACTTTTCCCTTGTTAAGCTGGCGTTGCAAGGAGACCGGCCCCCTTTTCTTGACCTGCTAAATATCAGGATCAGGTCCTTACACAGCTTTCACTCCACAAATACTGTTTGTTGTAGGGTTTTGTTTTGTTTTTTGCTTGTCTCTGGTTGAATCTCCAAAACCCTTGGCAATTATTGGTAGCTTTGGCCAAGAATCGTTTCTTACTGCTTGATGTTTGTATTTGTCCTTTGCCTTTCACCAAGCTCCTCTCCATCCCCTTTATCCTATGAATTGCCCTGTGAGGTAAGCCAGGCGGAGAGGGTGTGACTAGCCAAGCGTCGCCCTTTGAAAGTTGTGTGGTCAAGAGGAGACTTGAACACAGGTCCCTTCTGGCATAATTCTGAGACTAACCATGCACAGCCCTGGTGGATCTGGGTATTGAAAGTGCTCAGGCCTTGCCAGAAGCTGGGCCACCCTCCGGCTGGGATGTCCCCACACACAACCATACAGACCCTGCCCAGGCCATTTGGTTGCCAGAGGCAAAGACCAGCTTTTCATAGGGTGTCATCCTCTTTCATACCTGGGCGAGCAGCAGGCTGCTTGAGGCGGTTTGGAGCTGACCTTGTGCCGGGCATGGCTTTGCCTCCAAGAAATGGGCAAACCGGGAGAGATCCAGGAAGCCCGCCCAGTGAGCTACCAGTCTGTGCCTCAGCCACTTGAGGCCGCTGCCTTCTCGCACCTTCACCTTCCAACACCCTTTAAAGTCGCACAAAGAAGTTCCCCACCCCCAGCCCACCTACCCACAGTCAGTCAGCCGTGGAATAGGAGGAAAAATCTGTGGCACAGCAGAGCTCAATGGGGCAAAAAGAGTGAGTTGATCTTAGTGTCTGGACTCCATAACAGACCAAACCAAAATGTTAATGAGGTGCTGCAGACAAAAAAAACCCTGCATTTTCTTTCGGCATGGAAGGTGATTCCTGATATGCATGCAGGTCGCTTGGTCTCCTACAACCCTGGGGTTCAGGTTCCTGAGAACCACCCAAGATGT